TGGACCCCTGCCTCTCGGCGTCATGTGCTGGTGGGAGGAGGTCAGCAGACCCCTGAGAGCTGTGCTGTTGGAAGGTGTATGACACTTGCCCAACGAGGGAGAGTGCTGTGCTTTTGCCAGGCTACGGGCTTTTTAATTGTGGTTGTGTTGCTGTAGAGATGGAGGGAGGTCAGTCTCAAACTGTGGTAAAGGTAGCACATTGCAAAGAAATTATAAGGCAATGATACTAAAGCAATGATGACCTCCTACCACATCACACCACCACTGCCAAAATAACCCTCTGTCCTTCCCACACAAGCTCAACCATCACAAAGCAAACAGCACATACATCTGCAGTGGGAGTCTTCTGGAACACCGTTTGTCCATAGACACATTCTCCAGAATGCCTGATAGTCCTCTCAAACACTGAGGTGTTTTTCCTAGCAGAGCCGGGATATTAGAGGGGAGCTACACTGGCGATTTTCCAGTGGGTATTTCACATTATAGTGCCACCAAATCAAGTCTGAACCAGCAAACGACTCAGCTCCACAGAACTGAGTCTGAGCCAGTGAACAACTCAGTATCACTGAATCGCATCTGAGCAGGAGAACGACTCGGCATCACTGAATCAAGACAGCAAAAGGTTCAGCGTTACTGCATCAAGTCTGAGCCAGCAAACAACTCAGCGTCACTGAATCGAGTCTGAGCTGGCAAACAACTCAGAGCCACTGAATCGAGTCTGAGCCAGCGAACGATTCAATGTCACAGAATTGAGTCTGAGCTGCTGAACAACTCAGCATCATTAAATTGAAGTAGTACAAGCAGGGAGCTGCGTCAGCATGCGTAGGCTGCAAAGGAACAGGTAGAGGTTTATTCCATGCTGAAAAGCGAAGATAAGAAACGCAACATTTCCGCAGTGAAGCCATCCCATAGATGGCACTATATTGAGTCTGAACCAGAGAACGACTCAGCCTCACTGAATTGAGTTTGAGCCAGCAAAGGACCTAGCAGTACTGAATACACAACAGAAACATGAAATTATTACTGAAATGAGTCTTCTACAAAGCTAAATGGAAAATAAGTGTATGAAATTGACAGGCTTGGTAGTTTACCATCTTCCACGTGGAAAGTTAC